TGGGTGTGGGTGTGGGTGTGGGTGTGGGTATATAATTAATTGAATTTTATAATACTATTATTTAACATTAAAATTTATATTATCATCTGATTTTTGTATATGTATGCTATAATTCAGATTTTTGAAATGCAATCTTCCATGGTCCGGTTTGATTTGGTTCGATTCAGTTCGTTTCTAACGAGAATCGAATCGGACTCGAAATTTTCGGGTATTTAGTAAGTGGAACAGTTGAGTCTAAATTTAATTATGAAATTATTCGAGTTCGGTTTCATTTGGTTCCCAGATTTTGTACTATAATTAATTTTTTAATATTTACAAAATTACATTAATTTAACTAATGACGTATTCAATCTTAACTTTTAGAAAATAACGTAGTCCAATTTTATATATCTTTTTATCTTTCTTTATTGAGTTCTTCATAAATTTGATTATTAAAATCACAAGAAGAGGACGATAGTGACTTACAATAATTAAGAGAGGAGTTATTGAGCTTCAATTTGATTTTTTTAGAACAGTAAAAACAGCACTATGGGGATAAAATTTAGGTCAATTTAATTAAGTTTGGTTTGGATTGAAAAATAGAAATAACAAAATTATATTTTTTCGTTTGAGCTAAATTAACTAGTTAGCAAATTCATTTAAAAATGATAAAATAATTTGACTTATTTAAAATAAATAAATTAAAAAATTAAAAAAATTCGGTTCTTGATTTAGAACCAAAAATTCAACTGAACTTGTCAGTTTTCGATTCGGTTCAGGTCGATTTGAATCTGGTTCGATCCGATTCAGTTCGAAAGTTTTGCCTAACCCTAATTTCACCCGTACAATGGTTGGGCTGATTCACGATTGGGTCTCCAACAAGGAAACAAAACGGTACTCTCGTACTAAAGCCCAAACCAAGAAAGCGGGTCTGGATCCTTGTAATTTGGATCTTCAATTTGTAAAATGTGAATCAACTCAACCGGAATCCGAATTCTAAAACGATTCTGGGATAGGAGGCCTCGAGAGCACGAAAGAGATTACGGTGTAGTGGATTTTTCTTAAAATTTCTGAGAGCAGAAGGGAAGTATTTAAAGATGTTGGGCGCATTGAAGGGACAGCCGCTGGTTACGAAGCTGGCAAAGGTGGCGCAATACGGCATTCTTCCTGGAGCCATGATCGCCTCCCTCTTTTACTCACCTCCCGATTACGCTTCACCCAAAAAACCGTCTGATTCTAAACCCCCCAGTTCTTCTTCCCATTAGATTCAAGGTGCATTTTTTTTGGCATTTATCAGTTTCATTTATTTCGCTTTTCTTTAAGTCAGGGTTAGGGTTAGGGTCAGGGTTAGGTTTATGGTTAAGGGATTATCGTTTTTGATATTTATATTGCTGGATCCGTTGTGCTTATGACTATCTGTTGGTTTAATTCCTCTTTGGTAAATGGTAATTTAAAGGAAAGAAAGAGGGAAAATAGTGGATAAGAGAGAATTAATCTGATAATGTTACTGTTAATTTAATTAACAAACGTATGGATCTGGGTTATTAATTTAACCACTATTCTAGCAAAAAAGAAAAAAAAATGTTTTTAATCTGATAAATCTATTGCTTGCAAAAAAAAAAATTCTTTGTAGTTCGTGAAGAACTGCTGTGGGAATTTTGTGTTCTTCATTCACATGGATGAAAAATGTGTGAAAAATAGTTATGTGGGGATGTAAGGTTAACAGGGGAAGAGATATTTACCTGGAGAGACAAATGTAAAGGGGAAAATTTTCAGATAATTATTTCAATTCAAATGAGAATAATAGCAATGTAAGGTTTTGTGAGATTATGACTGCAATGCGAAGGTGGAAAGATACGAACCAAAGAATTCGAATTGAAAGAAAATTGTGTTGGAAATGAATCCGTTTGTTTTTAAGGTGAATTCTTGTGTTCATTCTTTTGGTAATTTCAGCTGCTTTTTTATTGTGGATTTTGGTAAAATTGCTCATATTTGTTGCCTAGCATTCATAGGGGAATGAAGCTCTGCGAAGTGACCAACTATATTAGCCTAATAGTAATAGCTATCTCTGTATTCTTAGTTCTTGTAAATGACTTAAATATTCTTTTATGAAGCTCAATTTAGAGGGGTCCAAGTAACTAACTGATCGACTTGTTGCATGACCATAATTTCCATATTTGTTGTGTTGTATAAGTAGTACTAACGTGTAGTTTTAATGAATGAAGATTAGGAAAGGGGCTGAGCTGTCAAACTGACACGCGACTTCGTTCTTGATGCAGGGCTCTTGGCTGGTTAAACATGCATCTTTCTATTTCCTTGTGATATGTTAGTTTAATATGGCGAGTAATAAATAATTATTGCTGCTTTTGTTGCTATGTACCAGTTGTAAACAATCAGGATTTTGAGTTTCAGTATCTTTTGAAGAAAATTGTTGCTTTCCTGTTATGTCCTGCTAACATTTGAGAGATTTCGATAGATGCAAATCTTTTTAATTTAGCTCCTATGCATACTGCTCTATTTTTTTTTCATTCTGGCTGAAGTTCTATTTATCACCTGGTGAAATGCTATCTTGGTGCAATCTGTGATGTTATGGGGTCGGTTTACGCCCTCTGCCTGAATATAGAAGAAAAAGCATGTGCTTGCTCTAAGTTGCTCAATGTAATCCTTGTAAGTATTTTGGGTTGTGGTGTGCAGTAGTGAAGAGGACTGGGAAATACAGTGGATAATATTTTAGTTTCTTTTTTTCTTTTTTTTTAATACAATCTGCCCATCTTACCTGACATGGCAATGGTGTCATCTTGATAGCATACATGTACATTGTTGCTATTGGTTTCTTCCTCTTATCTTCTTTCCAGATCAGTGTGGGCAGTTTAGATTTATGCAAAATATAATCTTGGAAACTAATACATCTATCTTAAGGTTGTTTCTTGTATGAGAACCATTCATTCTTCCTTGACTCGTGTCTCCATCTTTTAGCTATTTACTTGTAGTGTGTTTTTTTATTGATGGCCAAATACTTGGGCAGCACTCAGTCTGATTTAAGCAGCAAACAGATGAACCAGTCCCAAATATCTGTTTATGAATATTTGTTCAAGGGAAGGCGTTCGAGCCTTGGTGATTCCGGGTTGGACATTGGGTTGGGTCGGTTTGGTCCAATCTAAAACCTATGATAATATAAACCGACTTAAACCAGCCCTAATTTCCAGTTGGGTTGGTCAAGTCAGGTTGGGGTTTGGGCCCAAAGTATGAAGAAATTGTTAAAGGCTAGGGTTGGGACTTGGGCATGTTGTGTTTCTCCATGGTGGAGCACTTCGACCTCCGCCGTTCAATCTCCATGTGATGCTCCATCACTGCACTTATAAACCACCGGCGTCACCGCACCCTACAACCATATCGTGTCCTCCGCTACTTTCATCACTTTCCATCGCCTCCCGGCCATCACTCTTCCTCATACCTCCCTTTCGAATAATTCATCTTTGGGAAGAAGAAAAATCATCTCTCTCTCAAGACTAGAATTTGATATCTCCATATATCTATGTTTCCATCTATTTTTCGGGTTCCAACCATATGACTACTTTATTCTCGGACGGATTCTTTTTGAAATTTGGAGGAAGTTTTTCTTGATTGATTGGTGGTGAATACTTGGAATTTTGATGGAGACAAGGAAAGGGATGGGGAAATGACCATGTCTCTTTGTATTTATTTTCAAATGTTTTGGGTGGGATTGGGTACCGGGTTGTGAATCAAAATCCGCCATTCGAATCTTGTTATTTTAGGCCTACTGCCAAAATCGATCCCAACCAACCTGATACTTAAAGGGCGATTGATTTTGGTGTCCCTGCAATCTTGTAATACATGTTAACAAACACGATTTCAACCTGTATCGAACTGTGAGTGGACATTATTGCAGCTACTGTGGAAAAGGGTCAGACACTAGAACTAGGGGAGGGTGTGAAATGGACCCAAATGGCCAAATCCCATCATCAATCAAACATTCAACAAATAAAATAGGTGACGTCAAAATAATGAAACTGCATCACACCGTCACATCATACACCCCGATCACCCACCACCACCACCGCCCAGCCAGCCCCACTCACTCACCCTTTAGTTCAAGCCTTCCCAAAATCATTTTGTATTATTGTTTTGGTTTATTAGCATGAATAATGTCACTTGACCGGCATGAATGACACTTTCGATGACCACGCTTTCACATAGAATGAGTGGGTCTTGTACGATTAAAATAATTTTGACCTTCCATGTGTGTGTATGCGGTCATTGACTCAAGATGTGTAGCATGGTTGATATGTATAACATTGATTGACATCATCATATTTATCTATTTTTAAAAACTGTTTTTTACATCGCATGCTTGAATTTTGACAATACATGATTGTCAACCACTGTTGGACACTTTACTCTTTTTACAAATATATGAAAAAGCGCCGAATTTTGTGGAAGCTGATTTGTTGGTTAACTATGAATCTAGCATTTTGTAGTTTTAGACAGTTCCATGGGTACCAAGACAATTTAAACA